AACGAATTTATGCTCCATAGAAATTGCGAAATGACTCCTCTTTTAGTGGAAATTAAACTTGAAAATCTTGATCCCCAATTTCCACAATTTTTGTTCTACGCATCATTTAGTAAATTCCATGCTTAAGTTGTCAAACAATGTAAATATCAATTTGACCACTTCGATTCCCTATTTTTAGCTAAATCCCGAGTTATTTTTTTTCATCCAAACGGAGGGTAAAATTTAGTGTAAGGCTATTGTTGTTGAGTTATGTTCAATTAATAAAACTCGCTTCTTGTCTTCTTTTAAGTACATGTAAAATGAAGATCTAAATCGTTAACCACGTGTAATTCATGCAAGAGATTTATCTCTAATAGATTGGTCTATCCATTAATGATTAAATGGTTCGAATTTAAGAATCTACTTTGTCTAAACCATCTAGAGCAACATTAATTAAGTGTAGTTGCGATTACCCTAAACCGAAACACTCTTAATCAAGTGTGTTTGTTTACCAGACAAAACCGAACTCTTTCTATTTGGCTTGAAAGAGGTTGGTGTATGAAACCAAATCAATAATTTTTGTGGGATCCTTGATTTTACAACTCAAATTCATTTCCTTCCAACCAAAGAAGTGTTTTTAAATCAATACAATATCTTCATTCTTATTTTCGTGGGATCCTTGGGCCACGGGCTTGATCCCTCCAAAATGTGGGAGGGGGGCTCCTCTTAGGCTGTTCTCTTCATTTTTATTTTTATTTGTTTGGATATGTGTGCTCCTGTGATTTTTGCTTGTAATTTTCCGTTTTTGCATAATAAAAAACAAAAAATAAGAATAAAATTCAGGTTTGGCATGGCATTACTTTAAGAAAATTAAAGTCAACAAAGATTGCTTTTCACCTTCACGCCTCTCTTTGGGTTCAATTCCAGGGCAGTGGCACTAAAGGAAGAGACGTTTGATATATCATATTCCATCAACTTGGTGCACTACTGCACTTAATACCTTTAAATGAAAATAAAAAAATCTTAAAGGTCAGCAGAAAGGGCTGAATTTTCCTTTAATTATGTACCCAAAGAAAAGTTGAATCACGGGCTTATGACATCAACTTTTATAAGAAAGAAAAACCTATGCGCCCATGGGAATGGAGCGCATTTTGTGGCCAGCCGTTTACCTCCATTGGGAGAGCTCCCGCGGCGAAAGGGATTAGTCACTACTGTCGGCGGTGGATACCCTTTGGTCTCACCTAAAAAAAAAACCTATGACTTTGAAAATTTTAATTGTAAGAACTATTTTGGTTGTATACATAAACTAGCCTCTTCGCACTCGCTCGGAAAATGTTTTTCTTAATCACACGTCATAAAGATTTTTTAGCGGTGAATATGGTCTAGAGTCATATCTATAATCCTGCCAATGATGTGGAGACACATGTTCTGTGAGACTGTGAGGCTCGGGAGATCTGCTAGATTGGTTCCAAACCTTCTCATTTGCTCCTCCTGCTGCTACAATTCTTTCATTCAAACTGGACCCACTCTCTATCAAGCTTCCACTGTACACATTGTAAATAATATAATTTCTAAATTTCCTCAGACAAAAAATGAAAAACAAAGAGAAAAAGAGGGGTGTGTATATCATGTGGACACACTATTCAACATTGTTGTTTTGTTTCTTCCTCATCTGTGATGGAATGGAACCTACACGCTCTTCTACTTCCCTTATCTGAAAAAATAAGTAAAATTTATCTGGAAGAATGCTACGGTAAATCGCTTACCCGTTTTAACTGTTTAATGTAAGATTGTATTTACATACGCACTTAATATCAATAATTAAATAATAAATTAGTGTTGCATGAAGAATAGTTTGAGAGTTAGGAACTAGATAAGATCTCAAGTTGAAATGACGTTAATGATGACATTATATTTTGTAATATAGTAGGGAAAAAAAAGAAAGGATAATTAATCTAATCCAATTGCCAACAAGATTCTCATTCATTCATATATATTATGGTTTGATACTTACTTACCTACTGATTTCCTTAAATAATTACATATATAATACAACCAAAACCACATGGCCACGCCAATTAAACAATGATTGATACTAATCTAGGAGCACTAACTCAAGTACACTACATTATTGGGCATGGTCGTTTTCACAAGTTGAACATAAAACAACTAAGCAAAGCCCCATTCAGCCTCGTTTTTGCCTTTGTCTTTGCCTTAGAAGATTTTTGTTTCGGTGATTTTTTTGACAAAATAATAGATTCGATGGATAGATAGAGAAGATGTTTGAGTTTTTTTGAGTACCAATCCGTGCACCATACGCACACATTCATATTCAGATATTCTCTTCTTCTTGTTCTTATTGTTGTTTAGGGGTTAGGGCTTTGTTTGATTATTTAATCACTATTTAAAGCTCCAATGATTTCAATGATTATCTGTAATCTCCACGATTGGTTTTCTAAATAGGAGACCATCTCAAAGGCAAGGCAAGTGTTTCTGCCTTCCACTAAACACGCGGGCTTTTTATATTGGACAGTCACATATTTTTTTTAAACTTTTGAATATGTACTATAACATTTTTCAGTTTTGCGTTAAAAATAATGTAGGCCCGTTTGATAAACCTTTCAATTTTAGTTTTTAGTTTTCATTTTTTGTGTTAGAGCATAGAAGAAAAAAAGAGAGAATGAAAGTGGAGATGAAATTAAGAGGGAAGATGAGAGGCGAGAAAAGTAACAAAAGTGAAAACTAAAATCTCTTTATTTTTGTTTTATCTTTTGTTACTCCTCCCTCCCATCGTCCCCTCTCATCCTCTCTCTCAATGTTATTCTCACTCTCATTCAGCGGCGGATCCAGGAATTTTTCAACGGAGGTGCAATTCTTAAAAGTTAAAAGCTAAAAAAAAAAAACAAACAAACAACTAAATATCCTTATAATTTAAACAATACTAATGTTTAAATTCCTTGAGCAAGATACAAAAAGTTAACAAGAAAATCTAATGTTGCTGTGGCTGGGATGACTTCTCTTTTCCCTTTTACTATTTTTTCTATTTTTATTTATTTAAAGGAAGCCATGACAACAATTGGAACAAAATCAATGCAATCCTCAAGGTCTTCATTTTGTTGGAGGAGTTTTCGAGTTCAAATCCCATAATAAACAAGGCAAGACCTTTTTGTTTTGTTTTGTTTTGTTTTTTTTGTAGAAAAAATCTCTTCGTTCAAACTAAACATAAAATCATATCCTATCCATCTATGTAGAACCCCGCCTCTTCCCCCACCCTCGAAAATAGGAGACCATCTCAAAGGCAAGGCAAGTGTTTCTGCCTTCCACTAAACACGCGGGCTTTTTATATTGGACAGTCACATATTTTTTTTAAACTTTTGAATATGTACTATAACATTTTTCAGTTTTGCGTTAAAAATAATGTAGGCCCGTTTGATAAACCTTTCAATTTTAGTTTTTAGTTTTCATTTTTTGTGTTAGAGCATAGAAGAAAAAAAGAGAGAATGAAAGTGGAGATGAAATTAAGAGGGAAGATGAGAGGCGAGAAAAGTAACAAAAGTGAAAACTAAAATCTCTTTATTTTTGTTTTATCTTTTGTTACTCCTCCCTCCCATCGTCCCCTCTCATCCTCTCTCTCAATGTTATTCTCACTCTCATTCAGCGGCGGATCCAGGAATTTTTCAACGGAGGTGCAATTCTTAAAAGTTAAAAGCTAAAAAAAAAAAACAAACAAACAACTAAATATCCTTATAATTTAAACAATACTAATGTTTAAATTCCTTGAGCAAGATACAAAAAGTTAACAAGAAAATCTAATGTTGCTGTGGCTGGGATGACTTCTCTTTTCCCTTTTACTATTTTTTCTATTTTTATTTATTTAAAGGAAGCCATGACAACAATTGGAACAAAATCAATGCAATCCTCAAGGTCTTCATTTTGTTGGAGGAGTTTTCGAGTTCAAATCCCATAATAAACAAGGCAAGACCTTTTTGTTTTGTTTTGTTTTGTTTTTTAAGCCCAGTTTTCTCCACGTGTCTTGCCCTTATTGGCTGTTTATTTTGGGTGTAAACAACTATAACATTTTTCAGTTTTGCGTTAAATATAATGTAGGCCCGTTTGATAAACCTTTCAATTTTAATTTTTAGTTTTCATTTTTTGTGTTAGAGCATAGAGGAAAAAGATAGAGAATGAGAGTGAGAATGAGAGTGGAGATGAAATTAAGAGGGAAGATGAGAGGTGAGAATGGGCGAGAAAAGTAACAAAAGTGAAAACTAAAACTAAAAACTGAAATATATTTGTTTTTGTTTTCTCTTTTGTTACTCATATCTCCCATCGTCCCCTCTGATCCTCTCTCTCAATGTCATCCTCACTCTCATTCTTATTTTCATTTTCTTCTATACTCTAGCACAAAAAACAAAAAATTAAAATTGAAATGGTTATCAAATAGCCCCTTAAATAATCATAAAATTACGAATTCTTATCCCATTTGACTCGACTATGAATTTGTGAAGTTAGCATTTAAAAGTTTAGGTTCACAAAGTGCCAAATCAAATAAATTTGGTAGTTAGACGGATGACGGTACTGCGAATTGCTTGACAATTGACAACTTTAAGGGTTGTATTTACTACCTTTGAAAAGATAAGGGTCTAGTTGTTATCCTAAACACTATTCATCCTAAATTAAAGGGGTGTTTATCCTAAGAGCATCCACAGTGGGGGGGTGTATGTTAAATATACACCCCGAGTCATCGGAATCGTCTCCAATGGTGAGATGTAAATGTATGTAAATATACATCACCACCATGGGGATGTAAAAAAAAATGTATATTTATATCCATTTTTACATCCCTTGCAGGCGGAACCCACCCGAGAAAAGAGAACAAAAATGAAGAAAAGTCAACATAAAAGGCTGGGACCCACAGCTACACCCCCGAATTTACACCCCTCACTGGAGCAAAAAACATATTTACACCCCTCGGACGTGTAAAGGGGATGTAAAAGTGGCTTTACACCCCCGAATTTACACCCCCGAATTTACACCCCCTCACTGTGGATGCTCTAAATACTATTCATCCTGAAGCATGTGGGACACATAATGAGAAGGAAGGTGTTTGGAGGTTTTGTTTTTGGTTTGTTTTGGTCGAAAAAGGCGTTTGGAGTTTGTACAAGGAATATGTGGAGGATGACGATATGAAAGCAGGCACATGGACAATTTGGACATTATTGGACAACAAGAGGGAGAATTGCATTCGGGGTAGATGGAGTGAGTGAGTGAGCGACTTCTTCCAAATCTAAATCCTGCCATATATGCGGTACTTGTTCACTTTTTAGACTTTTCTCTCTCCCACAAAGATTTCAAGTTTTCTCCTTGGAGGAAATGAATATTACATTTTTACCCACGTAAGAAATAATAGTCCATCCCTGTAAAAATTTATAGTTCCGCCAAAAGAAGGAGCATAAACCGTTATGTGGGAAAATATAATGTGGTAGGTGGAGCCCATGTATGTAATTCATTCATTGTAATCATCTACGATGTTCATAAGTTCTTTGTGAATCTCGTCCATGCACTCCACCACCAAGTAGAAGAAGAAGAAGACCCACAGACTCATACCAAGCATTTCACCACACTTGCTAAATTTTGCTCTGCTTAGCAATTTCCATTCGCATACTGTAATGGCTCTGCAGGTTCTCTCTCTCTCTCTCTCTCTCTCTCTCTCTCTCTCAAGTTCTCTCTCTCTCTCTCTCTCTCTCTCTCTCTCTCTCTCTCTCTCTCTCTCTCTCTCTCTCTCTCTCTCTCTCTCTCTCTCTCTCTCTCTCTCTCTCTCTCTCTCTCTCTCTCTCTCTCTCTCTCTCTCTCTCTCTCTCTCTCTCTCTCTCTCTCTCTCTCTCTCTCTCTCTCTCTCTCTCTCTCTCTCTCTCTCTCTCTCTCTCTCTCTCTCTCTCTCTCTCTCTCTCTCTCTCTCTCTCTCTCTCTCTCTCTCTCTCTCTCTCTCTCTCTCTCTCTCTCTCTCTCTCTCTCTCTCTCTCTCTCTCTCTCTCTCTCTCTCTCTCTCTCTCTCTCTCTCTCTCTCTCTCTCTCTCTCTCTCTCTCTCTCTCTCTCTCTCTCTCTCTCTCTCTCTCTCTCTCTCTCTCTCTCTCTCTCTCTCTCTCTCTCTCTCTCTCTCTCTCTCTCTCTCTCTCTCTCTCTCTCTCTCTCTCAAGTATATTCCAATGCGATTGATTTGAATAAATGTATGAATGGAAGGAGGAGGAATTCAAAGAATATGCAGAGAAGGCCAAGTCTTTGCCCCCAGCAAGAGCAACAAAGGATGCAGACAAACTAATACTGTATGGCCTTTACAAGCAGGCAACTGTTGGGTCGGTTAATACCAGTGAGTTCTTTCATCAATTAACTTCTTTAATTTAAATGTTAATTACAATTTAATTTCACACAACTCTGCTATGAATTAATTAATACATATATAAACAATTAATGTATCTTATTTATGCAGATCGACCTGGGTTTTTCAGCCCAACAGAGAGGGCCAAATGGGATGCATGGAAAGCAGTTGAAGGTATTTATTTATTAAATTTCAATAGCTCCTAATTAACAAAATTAAAACCATAATTAATTAATTGTATGTATGTTAATCAGGGAAGAGCAAAGAAGAAGCAATGACTGAATACATTGCAAAGGTGAAGCAGTTGCAACAAGTTGAAGGAGCAGCTTCCACCACATAAATCAAACCTTACAACATCTGTCCACCTATGATGCATGCCCAAACAAATTTCCCAACTCCATGAATTTCAAATTCTGTCTTCATTTCTAATGTTTAAGTCAACATGTTCAAGTTGAACACACTCGTAATATTATTATTATTATTATTATTATTATTTATTTTCAATGAAAAATCACCATGGAGTCTCTATTTAAAGTTGGCCAACGAGGTCTAGCTTAGTTGAAAAGGACCTTGATTTACAGACCAATGGTAATGTGTGTGTGAGAAACCCCCCCTCCTTTTGTAGTTTAGACATTCGGTAACGTTTCATTAATTTCGAGACTCTTGGATTTTGAATTTTCCATACCATAATTTTCCCAACACTTAAAAAAAAAGTTACAATTTCTCCTGCCTTTGTATGCTCAATTTCCAAATTCAAATGGGCCATCACGAATCTATAAGTCCAGTTCTGTTTGGCCCAATTATTTTAAGGAGCCACACCACCAACCATCACTATTTCTATCTTTTTGTTCGAAACCAAACATCACAATCGCACATCAGAAACCAACCATTCAGCCTCTCTCGTCTCGCCCACCCAAACACTCTTTGGACTCTTTTGAGAATATGAGCCTGACTGTGAAGGCAAGCGGTACACTTTTCTCCCCTCAATTTTCTCGCACTTTCTCAGCTCCCAAACTCACCCTCCTTCGTTTCTCCAAACCCTCGCCCTCGCGCTTCACCCCCAAAATCAACATGTCCTCCTCCGCCGCCGCCCAACCCATCGTCGAGCACGTGGTGCTGTTCAAGGTCAAAGACGACACAGACCCGTCCAAGGTCAACGCGATGGTCAACAGCCTCAACGGCCTCGCCTCTCTCAACCTGACGCTCCACCTCACCGCCGGCCCACTCTACCGCACCCGATCCTCGCCCATCCCCTTCACCCATCTCCTCCACAGCCGCTACAGCACCAAAGACGACCTGAGCACCTATACTGTGCACCCGAACCACCTCAGCGTGGTCAAAGATTCGGTCCTCCCAATCTGCGACGACGTCATGGCCGTTGACTGGGTCCCCGACGACGTTCAGGGCCCAGTGGCCCCACCGCCGGGGTCCGCAATCCGCTTGACGTTTTTGAAATTGAAGGAAAACTTGGGGGAAGAATCGAAATCCGAGATTTTGGATGTGATTAAAGGGATTAAGGGGAAGTTTGCGGAGATTAATCAGATTAGCGCAGGCGAGAACTTCTCTCCGGCTAGAGCGAAAGGGTATTCGATCGCGTCGCTGGCGGTGCTTCCGGGGGTGAGTGAGTTGGAGGGTTTGGATTCGAAGCAGGAGCTGGCGAATGTGGAGAAGGACAGAGTTAGGGAGCACCTCGAAAGCGTCATCGTTTTGGATTATGTGGTGGCGTCGCCTCAATCTGCAAGTCTCTGAAAGATTTTGTGGCTTGTATGTTTTGTGCTTTGATTAATATCTAAATAAGCTGGCGGACGAAATGTTATTGGAATGTATGGTATTATCAAATTGAATTGAACATGAAAAAAAATGCGAGTTTGTGTTATTTCCTGAATGTGGTTCAGTTTCAAGTGTTACACAAAAACTAACTTTCTGGGCATAATGCCCCGTTTCAAATTCAAATGTTACCCTAAAGATGAGACACTTGAACCATAACATGAACCCCTAAATGTTGATGAATTTAGACCCAAATTTACAGAGCAGTGCTAGTGACCGGAACGAAACCCGTGGCCTGTGATGCTATCACGGCGATGAATGAGTGACGAGCGTCGGACCGACTTTTGGGGTTGCGTCGTTGTCCAAGCAGTCCAAACCAAACTTGCATCTTAGAAGAGTGTGGGATTCAAAATCATCAAGGTTTAAGATGGTGTCACATGTGAATCTGATTTATGCTAAAATTTGGAGAGTCTCGTGGAGATGCTGTTACGGCATGTTTAGATAATAGGCCCAAGGTGAAGGTGTAAGTCCAAGCTTCCAAACCCAAATTGGTTAGGCTGAAGATGCTTTGAGCCCAGCGCATATTATATCCATAGTCCTAGCAGTTGGGTAGTCCAATTGCTTCATCTATACTATACAGTTATTTCAGTTAATTGGATGAGGTTTCTAGTGCGGTTCATTTAAGCCCATTGCTAGTTGTGTGTGCAAAGCTTAACAAAAAGCATATCAGATTCATATATCATACAAATAAAATAAAAACTCAACACAAAGGCCTAGTTATTAATATGCCACGTGTTTTTTTCCCCATCTTTTTGCTAGGGATTGATTTTTTTTTAGTCGCGTGATCAACAAACCGTGCCCTCTATTACAAGTTACAACCGCTCTGGTCCAGGATCTTGATGTTTTTAGCCTTTTAGCTTTTCTGCAGCATATAGCATAAGCATAGGCATCAGAGGTCCAATTGGTCCCCCCGATGTACCAGTTTTCATGGTTGATGTCTTTCAAAGTAATGACAATTGTATTTCATATGTACTAGTATGGTAAGATGACAATACAATCTAATGTTTTAGTACACATCACAATCTTATCGTTAGCTGTTTTTTTTTTTTTATAGAATCTGTACGCATATATGGATGGTCACGGAAGAGTGAGGACAAGAAATTAAAGACCTATTTGATATCCTACTCAAAAAAGTAAATTCAAAAACTATGATTCTTTTTACTAAGCCCTATGGATTAAAAGTTACGAAATAGTAAAGACATTTACAAGTAAAGGATTCATGGTTAGTATACTAGCACCTATATTCATTTACATTTATGCAGGAGTCAAGGTGAGAATTTCTAGGCGTGAAGGTCACAATGCAATGCTTGTTATAATATGAGGGAATTGATAACACCACATAGTCATATGACAGTCACACTACCAATCAAGATATATACACGTCATTGTTGAGCGAATTAATTTAGCTTGGTTGTTTTTTAAATGGGCGAGGATAAGTGGTCCCTGAGCTATTTAGGCGTTGGCAAGTGACCACTTTTGTCGGTCTGCCAAGGTTTTGTACGTTCCTCCGCCCACACTCTGAGCTAAGCTAAATTCAAAGCCAAACCCTAAAAAGAAGAGTGAGAGAGAGAGAGATGGGGAGAAGATCATGTTGTGATAAGGAAGGGATAAACAGGGGAGCATGAACTGCCCAAGAAGATGAAATCCTTTCTAATTACATTAACACATATGGAAAAGGAAAATGGAGACATCTTCCTCAAAGAGTAGGTACGTAATGTATATATAACAATTTTTTTTAAAAAAATAAGGATATTGTAGCTTAAGTGGTTAAGAGCATATTAGTAAGCTGATTGGTTGTGTTGTTAGAGAGAATGTAACTCTCATTGTTGTAATGTTCATTATTACAATTGAATGAAATATCATCATCTTCTTCGTATATTTCTTCTTCTTAGTTAACAATGTATCAAGAGCCATTGTGGCCATTGGCAAATTTCCAAGCGGAGGCTTATATATATTGATAGGGCACAAGCTTGTGCTCAAATTTTAATCAGCACAAAAATATGCTTTTTATGGACGTCTTAGCCACAGATCTACTGTGCCTTTTGTGTAAAGAAACCTTTAAGACATTTTTGTGTTAAATGAGGTTGAAAAAGGCTTGACTCTTCTTACATGCTATTTGAACTTTGTCTTTTAGGACTCGTTTGTGAGTGATTCTAAATAGGCCAATAATCATTTATATGGAGGATTTCTCCATATAATCACTTTAAGTGGTTCAAAGTGATTTTATGGAGAAGCACATGGGAGGTGCTTCTCCCCAGAATCGCTTAAAAATACTAAGTGATTATATGGAGAAGCAGGTGGGAGATGCTTCTCCCTATAAGGACTAGAATCACTTTCAAACATGCCCTTAGAATAGTTTTATAGTAGTGATACTTATCATGACTCTATGAGCTACTTCATAATGCCATATGTCTAACTGTATGCTTCCATTTTTTTCTTCTTTCCTTTGTGAAACAAAGTTTTTCATTAAAAATTGAATTGTAGGGCTAAACGTTGTGGGAAGAGTTGCAGGATGCGATGGGTGAACTATCTTAGGCCTGGTATTAAGAGAGGTAACATTTCTGCGGATGAAGAAGATCTGATTGTGAGATTACATAAACTTCTCGGAAACAGGTACATATATATACACATAATATGGAAGATTAATCTACACATCGACCATATAAGTTTTGGTAGGGCTAAACGTTGTGGGAAGAGTTGCAGGATGCGATGGGTGAACTATCTTAGGCCTGGTATTAAGAGATGTAACATTTCTGCGGATGAAGAAGATCTGATTGTGAGATTATTACATAAACTTCTCGGAAACAGGTACATATATATACACATAATATGGAAGATTAATCTACACATCGACCATATAAGTTTTCCTAAAACTTTATCTATATCTTTGACTATACATACAATATTACTTTGTTATATTAAAGTTTTTCAATTTATGCCAAAAAAACCCGCATGCATGCAATACCATACCAAATTACCAATTGCAATGGGAAACTAATGAATTGAACAATGTTCAATTAAGCATACACCGAAAGTAGACATGGATTAAATTTGATCGTATGAGTACGATATCGAGCGTATTTAACAGTATTCATAAATTAATTAGGTGGTCCTTGATCGCTGGAAGAATTCCAGGGCGGACAGACAAAGAGATCAAGAACTACTGGAACACCCATTTAAGCAAGAGATCATCCTCAGATCAAGAACTACTGGAACACCATAAACCTAGTATTAATCCGAAAAATCAACATAATGAGAAAGGATTAATACCATCAGATCAGTCTCACCAGGCTAAGGCGATTAGACCAAAACCTTTCAAGTGCACAAAGGTTGATGTGGGCATCCCATCGCATCTTCAAGATGACCAAGATCATCAAATCATGGTTGACACAACAGTTCCTGCTGGTTCCTCATCCAACAATGACCTGTTGATATTGGACTTGCTAAACAGTACGGAATTCCAGCAAGTCCAAATGAAGGACTGGCAAGTGGCTATGGTGGAGAATTATTTGAGGGGTAGCCCCATTATTGCTGCTGTCGATTGATTTGAACCTGATATATTGATGGAGAGGTAGCGTTCAATGCACTTTCATCTTTTCTGAATATTGAAGATTGATTAGCCAACTGTACAGTCCCCACTTAGACATGCAAATTGCAATAAGGAAAAGTGACTATATATTCTCCAGATCACATTTGTGGCTATTAGTGAATTGTTACAAATTAATGTGGTTTAGGGTTCGGCCCAAAATGCAAGTTTGTGTTTTTGCTTTTAGTACTTGAATTTGGTTCAGTTTCAAATGTTACATAATAACTTTCAAATGTTACCCTAACCCTAAGGCTGAAAGACTAAAATAACATCAGATTCAACACCAACATAAACTCCTAAATATTCCATTTATGATGAATTTTCACCCAAATTTATAGGAGTAATGTTAGGCATACTACATTTTAAGTGCACAAAGATTGACAAGATCATCGATACCATCGCATTTCCATGCAGTGCAGGGTTTATACTCTCAACAAAAGAAAGACAGATGGGTTAACCCGAAGACGTATATATATATGATGACGTGTGATATTTCAAAGCATCTATACCTGCCATAATGTTAGGCATACTTCTTTCACTTAAACTGATCAACCCGAAGGCCTTCAAATAAGGATATTATTTTAAGGAGATACCTCACTTTCCTACGAATTACAATTTAATATATATGCAAAAATAATTCATCAAAAACACATACAAAAAAAAGAGAAAAAAAGGGCTTCTTAGATCTAGGTCCAAAACGATTAGTTGTTATCGGGTTTAGTCCTCGCGTTTTTTGTTTTAGATGTAGGTCCTTTAACATTTATTACTTTTTTTGTTGTGCCGATTTTACCCTTTGAGGTAAATAAGGAAAACACATTGAAAATCTAAATTTAATGCATTATTTCCTTGTAATTGAATTCCATAATTTAAATTTTGAATTCTTTCTTTGATAATATTCCTAATATATGGATAACATACAATTTAATCAATAAAAAGTAAAGATCCATATATTATACCAGATCAGACAAACACCCACATTAAATTAAGTACCAAACATATAGGTAAATAGTGTTATTATTAGCAACAAAAAATACTTAGTGATAAATTGTGTTACCTATAAGTTAGGAACATAAATTAGAAGACTACCTATATGTCAAATACAAAAATAGACAAAATAAAATTTTATGTTACCTATAAATAAAAAAAAGGTACATAAAATTCTATTACACATTGTCGAAAATATGAAAAAACATATATATACCTATGCAATAGGCAATAGGCAATAGACAATATGACATAAATGACTATTACCTGATTCAAGTCATAAGGGGCAATATTGGAACAAAAAATGATTTTAAAAATAAAATAATAAAAAAATTACATCAAAAAATATTTAAAAAGGAATGTAATTCTATGTGCAATAGACAATATGACATAAATGACTATTACCTGATTCAAGTCATAAGGGGCAACATTGGAACAAAAAATGATTTTAAAAATAAAATAATAAAAAAATTACATCAAAAAATATTTAAAAAGGAATGTAATTCTATGTGGCACAAAAATCAAAGGACTTGGATCAAAGTCACCAAATCCAACGATTAAACCCAACTCCTCAATAGAAATTTGAATCTATATCAACTTTTCTATAAAAAGGAAAAAAGATAAATGACATACATACAATAATTTATAGCCAAGTGGGCTAGTGGTTCTGTTTTTTTTTTTCCATAAACATGCACTAGGGCTTGGGTCCAATAATATTCACTTATTTAGGTCTTTGCAATTGCAAATCTCTGCTTTGAAAGAGGTTCGTCCTAAACTACTTTTAGCATGAAAAGAAAAATGCAAAAAGAAAAAGAGAGTACAATTTCTTGTAAAAGGCTGGTCAACTAAAAGGGACTTTTCTCACCAATAAAAGTAGATATGTATAAATATGCAGTGAGTCAAAGAACGGGTAGATAGAATTCAAATAACTGATGATTGGCCCCGTTGAATTTTTTAATTCCCAGTAGGAACTCATGCCTTGTTAGTTATTCTTATTACCAATCAATCATGAAAATTGAGATGCGTGACGCAGAGAGAGACAGTACACTCATGCATTTGTGGGGAAGAGTTTCTTTGTTGATTTTCTATGAACAGAAGACATGACATGTCTTCGGCTAAATTCACTCTTGTGCACATGGCTGATATCTTTGGAAAGGACCCGATGAGCATGCAACATGAAACACTCGTGGAATTACATATTTTGACAGACATTTATAGTAGGAGCAGGCTGCCGCTATATACTACAATTATGTTATGAGGTAGGTTGAGAATTTCCAACTCATCGTGCGTCCACCTACTACTCACTTATAACTATAATATTGTTCTATTTTTTCTTTAATTATGTAGTCTCAAAATAAACGCATGTCGTGCTTCGTTTTTTCAATTTTCTGTGGAGTGTAAGAGGTGTTTAGAATTGGTTACATATTTCTAATTTTGGTTGTGTGATTGCATTTATTTAATTTGTTGGTAGTCTCTTAGATGCAATCCAACAGTCGAAATTAAAAGGATGTAATCAATAATACTCTGTTGTCGACTGTGTGCCTTTTTCAGAGTTCCCATTTGGATATTGGATGCACTTAGATATCATGGCATATTGTCTAATTCAGAAGCACTCGATCGACCTCCTCACATGGAGCCACTGTTTTTTTTTCTTCTTCTTCTTGATTTCTTTGCTTGCGGAATTACAATTTCTAATTAAAATTTACAAATTAACATGATAAATATGACACAAAAGGAAAACATAAAATAAAGTATCCAACGAGCTAGGGACATCGACGTGTATTAATTAAATATATGGATCCTACGCGGTTCTAAAGGACTTTCAAAATAACTTTTTAATTATATCGATGATGCATAAGAAAGCAGACTCATAGAAATAGTTCTTGAGGCTTGACATGTGCTGAATTAACACGCACGTTTATCTCAATCAATAGAATACTCTATGATGATAGTTAATTCATGACAAACTTGACTCGAAACCAATTGTAATATGAGTTTTAAAAGCATCACGCGTGAAAATATGAGTCTTATCGCACTACATAATCAATTGACAACAAGTGAAGAGATACATTATTCGAGAGCCTCGAATACTGAAATATCTTTATTTACAATGACACTAGTACCGTTAGGTGCAGTGCAGAGAAGAGCAGGAGGAGATTGAAGTGGAGCAGTAGGAGGAGTATCTGTGCTAGGTCCCTTGAAGGATGGATGGTCGGCCTCTAACAATTTTTTCTGGTGAGCATTTCATTTCATTGCAATAAAGCAGTAGGATCTTCTTATTGCATTATTCATGGCTGGCTCCGTACCGTACAAAACACACTTTCAGACAAAAAACACGTGCTGTTAAACTCAATAATATTTTCAAGGCCATATGAATTAAATATTTGATTATATTCTCCCAAGTTCCAAAGTAAATTATTGTGGGAGAATCATGGCTAAACTATTTTCAAAAAGGCCACGTGGGCTAGAGTTCATATGGTGCGGTGGAGAGATCTTAGTGGTCAATGCAGAGTTATACGTCCGCACAAGGAATTAGTCAATGGAGGGATTTGAAAACGTGACTGTTCATGAGCTGATTTATGAACTGTGGCTCCCTCTCTAGCTAGTTGCTATTTATAACGATATGGGACCACAATGCTCGCTCATGAAAATTGATTCATCAGTCACTGAATTATGCTGTTGTCAAGTGAAGTCTGCCAAGATAAAACCAAACGTTCCGATTCAGCTTGGCAAGTGGTAAATATTCCAATCTTTGATATTTTGCATAATATTATCTTGACAACTGTTTGCCAACATAAGTGTTGTGAAATTATTGGAAGCGCATAATTCGCACAAGTAATATAGAGGTAAGTGAAGTGTCGTTCTCACGAAGACTGTAATTTTCTTTTAATTACCAATTATGATTAATGCAAAAGTTTATTTGAACTGTTAACGATGGAAATTCAAGTTGATGAAACACTAGAACATCCGATTTCATCATAATCAATTCCACTTAATTCTTTTAGCCAATTAACCCTAATTACTACCCATATTGACAGTTGGTTTTCTCCTAATTAATTCGATATCCGCTCTCGGGCTCAACCAAAAGTATTCTTAATTAACAACCCATTCTCTCTCGAGTAATGGATTTAGAAAATCAAGAACTCATTAAGTTTTATGAGAACATGCAAGAAAACTGCATAAGTCATGTTAGTCCATCTTGGGCACTCATTCAAGACATGGTATTTGTTACGATGTTTAAGGCATTAAGAACAGTAACAAATACTCAACATAGAAAGATAATCAGAAATTAATTTAATTATAAAAATTAAGTATTCATGGTTAGGCTACATCGTAGCCCTATCAAGAGAAATTAGTTCTTGACAAAAGAAAAAATAAACAAGAGAATTGTTGTCATAAAATCGATTTGGCAGATGGATTTGATCTTTGGATTCTCCATAGCAACACCTTCGTAAGCTCCAAAAGCACTGCGGTAGCAACTTTTGGCTCTCTCTTTGATATATTTGTGGGTGTAGTGAAATATGGTGAAAAGTCTATGGTAGAAAAGATGATGATCCATAGAGAGAGCTTAGGGTGACCTTATATAGTGTAAAACAACTACACCCTACTCTAAAAAGGTATGGAAAAACTCTCCTAAAGCAAAACAAAATCCCAAACAATTAAGGAAACAAACTAAGAAAAAATCATTTCTTTGACTTCGAAACACGTTAGCCAAATTGCACGCACGTTTTGGGGTCGTTCCACTTCCTAGAAAATTCTGGAAAAAATATGAGAAACGTAGATTGATCTCTAAGATTTCCAAGCATATATCACACGCCACTAGGAAAAATCGGAAAGGTCTTCAAATCTTCAATTTCAACAGCAGTGTTGTTCTGACGGGATTTCAACTTAGGCTATCTTGACTTGCAAGTCTGGAGCATTTGGCTTGGTAGAAAATTATGAAACATTGACACAATGATCTTCAATGTCTTAGCT